ACTTGCCAGATCTAATCAAAGGGCTTGCTGTTTGCTATAGATACCGATCGCTGCTGATCACACACTGCTGGCACACACAAGTTGTTGTACTGCCATGTCTTCCGCCGTACAGTGCAGCAGCAGCAGCAACTGCTGCAGTGCAGTGCAGAGGAGCGCGTTGTGAAAACAATCCGCCACTGCCGTTTTGCTTTAATTTAATTAACAAACTCGCATTGGTCCACGCTAACTCGAGACTCAAGACAATTTAGCCAAGTTTATGTAAACAGGCTGCACTTTTTGTGGTTGAAGAAGCCACTGCTGGCTAATGTTTTCTCTATTTTCCTGTACAGTCTGTACAGTGCTTCTCCTGCTGTTGATGTTGATGCTCCTTCAGATTGCTGCAATGTTGCCCTTTTTAAAGTGCCCTTCATATTAGCAGTGCGACATAATAGGCCTAGCTAGATAAGATGTTGTCCGATAAGATGAAGGCAAGTGGATTGCTGCTGCTGCTGCTGCACCACCAACAGCATTCACCAGGCCACTCGGCACATTGCCTGCTGATCGTTATTAGCACAACGAAAGAACACTGGCAGACTACTTTTTGGTGTGCTCGATTAATATTAGGCAATCGCTGCCATTGCTGCTGTTGCTGTTGCAGAAGCAGCAGCTTTTGTTTATTTTGCCGTCGCCGTTGATGTTGCTGCCGAGTCGATCGCACCCGATTCTGCATCGGTTTGATGCAGCCTTTGCCCCGGCAGTGCACCGAGATGGCGTCCTTTTCCCTTGCAGGTTTATATTTGCATTTTAATTTAATTTGCTCCAGCCAATATCCATCTCTCACATCAGGCCCGATGCTCGTTTTGTGTCGCAATTTGCCTCATTATAAATTGTTGCAACGTTTCGTTGGCAATTTGTTGTTTATTCTTCCAGTGCGACTGCTGCTGCTGCTGCTGCTGCTGCTTCTCCTCTTACCGTTACCCATTGTAGTCTATCACTCTAATTACAGTTATTATTATTGTTATTATTATTTGGATGCAGAAGAGAGGAACCAGGCCACGCTGCAGCAGAAGTTGCCAGTANATCACTCTAATTACAGTTATTATTATTGTTATTATTATTTGGATGCAGAAGAGAGGAACCAGGCCACGCTGCAGCAGAAGTTGCCAGTAAAGGGAACCAGTCTGTGTGTCTGTATGTGTGTTTGTGTGTGCTGGCACGCCGAGTCGCCCTGGTGGCTGTGCCAACTTTGCCAACTACGCCAATCAGTTAGGCAACAGCTCCAACACTTGGGTGGAAGCGTCGCCGTTCATTTATTAGATTTGTCCCGTGCCAGAGAAGACTGCTGATTCTCCACAACAGCAGAAGCAACAGAAGCATTAGATAATAATTTGCCTGCATAACACATTAATCCACTTGCCTTGTTGACACTGTCGTCGCCTTGTTGTTGTTGTTTGCTTTCATTGTGCTAGTTTTTTGTGCATTGTGCCTTGTTTACCAGTGTACCAGATTACAACTAAATTCAGCTTTGGGACAAGTTTGAAAAATATAAGAGGAGAAAAAAGCGGCAACTTTTTGTCAAAACACAAAAATAATTTCACTAAAAGGGGCATTAATGCAAAGCCAAACATGTTTTTGCCGAAAAAGTGTTCCAAGAAAAGCACTAGATACATTGTGCAATTGGCTAATTTAATTAAAGTGTCATTGCAATTATTTTTAAAATTGCACACTTTTATAAAAGGCTGATAATCGCCGTTTTGGAAACAGTAGTTTTATTCATGTGGCGCCATAATTTATCGCTTTGTGTTGATCGCCCAACCACTTGGTGATTTATACAATTTGTTTTTGCAGTTCTGTCTACTAATTATCGCAACCGCCTTACGGAGCTTTGATATTCCATTCCATAACTCGGTAATTATTGCTTTGCAACTGAATAGCAGTCAGAGAGTTTAGAGAGTGTAAAGCAAACAATAAATAGACTTGTGCTGGTAGTGCTTTTGGTGTTGGCAGCTGCTGTTGCTGCTGTGACTGCACCAGCTCCAGAACCAGCACCAGCATCACACCACTCGGAGCCACACATTTCACCCACATTCATCGATGCTAATTGCCATGTTTGTGCCAGTCGACGACCAGTGCTGTTAATTTCCATTGCTACCACCACCATAAATGTTTACTTTCTGGCAAAACTTTTCTATTTTTAATTGAATATTCAATTGTCTCTTTTCTCTTCCTCTTCTAGCTCGCCTGAAAAACTGCAGCCTTTTAGAGAATGCTTGTGCGCTGTGTTCAGTCATTGCTTGATTGACTTTTCATGACCACATCTGCATATTATCACTGGGATTTTTGCCATTCAAACATTTTTAAAAACTACATTAGACAAGTGATTTACTGTCAAGATGAGATGAAATGTTGCTAGTAAAAACAAAAGCATTTTAAATTGTATGTTTGATGTTTGAGAAATGCGGAACTTGAACTTGTGCACGAACAAACGTTTGTTTATCTTAAAGTTTTTCTAACAAGAGAAAAACACAACTAAAAATGAACTGGTAAACATGACAACCAATTATCAATGATCATTTTAGATCATTTTTTAATGTTTTATAAAAGTTGAAAATCTAGACGCAACTTTTAAATAAACTCTCAACTGCTACAGCCAATCACAAACTAACAAAAAGTTTTCAAATTGAAGTTTTATAGCTGGAAGGCAATTTAATAATGTTTGTGTGTTTCTTAAGTCAAGTTTTTAATTATTTCAGGATTGGTCACAATAAGTTTTAAATGGAGTTTGACCGGTGGTCAGGCTTTAAAAGTTGTTTTTTAGCAAAAAACTGTTTTTATAAAAACTTATTAAAAGTGTGTTGATTTTGCGGTTGTCTAAGGCGATTGACTTGATTACAAAAAAGCAGAGTTTACTTTAATTAACTCGGAATTAACCTGTAATCAGACTTTTTGCTTGGCATCACAAAGTAAACAGACGTAGCAGAGCACATTTTGGTTTCCATTTGTATTTTGAGCCACTTCCGACACTGCCTAGACTTTTGCTTATCACAGTATGAGTTTAGGTGGGCTATAATTGGCCTCATCGCACGGTGCCATTCACCTAATTGTGCAAATACGAGCAGTCCTCGGCGGGCACGGAAAAAAATTTGAAAATTCAACTTTGAGGATCCGCACGCCATCTGGGCGGCCGCTTTCAATACACTTCCCCCATTGAATCGGCTGTTTTCTGTTTTGCTTATCCGATTTGTTTGTTTCTTTGTTTTTCTGATAAGTTTGCTATTCTGTGATTTTGTTTCATAACAGTTTTCCCATCTTCTTTACTGTCTCTAGGCAAAGCGTTCCAACTTTAATCGTTTCACATCTAGCCACAACTCATCATCAAAAGAGAATCTGCATTCTTCTTCCTTCTCTAGTCTCGACTCAGATCGAGATAAGGAGCACCTGCTTTCCCTTGAAACGCCACCCGAATACTCCCACCTCTTTGCAACTTTTGGCAGCAAGGACCGTAGCAGTAGTGCAGAAGGGCACTTCGCAGAGTCCGGCGAGGCCCAGCTTGCTGGACACCAGCAGCAAGTGGGCCACCAGTGCACCAGTGAGCCCGGGGAGCACTCTGCGCCATCATCGGCGATGCTCAATCATCTGCACCAACTCATTCAGTCGCAACTGCTAACCGGTGACCAGCTGAACACCTTACAACTGCTGCAGCAAGTAACTAGTCAGTCAAAGGTAAACTTTGTAGTCTTTTTAGATTTAAAAACAGAGAGGAAATAATGTCAACAGGACAACCACGCTGTACAACTACGCTTGTACGTTGTTGTTTATCGAGTAAACAGACACAGCAGTTTTACTTTGAATTTGTTAGATGACAGTGTATCTCGATTCTAAATAGTCCAACTTTGCCAATCACATAACTGAGCTCTCTGAGGAGTTGTGCAAATTATTAATTTGTGTTTGCCGAGGCAACCGACGCCAGTGCAAACTTGGTAAACTCACTTGTTGTTTGCCTTTTTATTTCCTTATTGTCTCAGATCGCTGTTGTTTACAGACAAAACTTGCTCTGTGTTTGATAGTCAGCCAGCACTCTTGTACTTGGCTGCTTCCGACTGAGAGCCTCATTAGCTGGTGAATTAACAGTTGACAATATTTTTTTCTCTATTTCATTTTTGTATTTAGAATTCGCCATCACATAGCAGCCTCTCAGAGTCATTGCCATCCTCGTCTGAGCAGATGAACCAGCTTGCCCAGCAGTCTCAACTGTTCCAGCAACTGTCAAACGCGGTCGCAGCAGCAGCGGCCAACTGCGAACTGTCCTCAAATCAGGTTCCTCCTTCCGGCGTTCCGGTTTCATTCTCAGCCAACAGCATTACCTCGACATTACTCAGCAAAGGGTCACAGCAGCACTGTTCATCACAGGAGCCCAGCTTTGCTTCCCACCTTCACAGTGCCGTCAATAGCACTGGCACAAACTCCAATCCTCGCATCTCCAGTCCGCTGTCGCAGTCCAACGCCAGCGCTGTGAACGGGTGCACTGCCAAGAGCGGATCACCCCTGTTGGGCGCCCTCTTTAGCAACTCTGGCGCCATGTCATCACTGGCATCAAGCATGGGTCCGTCGGGAAAGTCACTCTCTCCTCTGGCCGGCCAGAACTCCCCAAAGCGAGCCCACTCGCCGGTGTCTCGTCACCAGATTGAGCTGCAGCTCCGTCAGCTGCAACTGGAGCAGCAGCAAATAGTGCAGCAACTGCAGCTCTCCTCTCACCGACAATATTTGCTAAGTAAGTGTGTGTGTGTGTGTTTATTGATCAGCCGAACCAGCCGAAGTGCTCTCCTCTACTGTTTGTTAACCGGGTGTTTGTTTTTCCTTGCCCCACTCCCTCCCTCCTTTACTGTTGTTTTGTAGATTCTTTTCAGCCCATCATTAGTGAGTTTATGAAGTTAATTCCAAACGGCGCCAACCTCAGTCAAGACGAACTGCTCGACGCCATTCTCTCGAATATCTCTGCCAGTGGTAATGCACCGGGCAAGATGGCCAACGGCTTGTCGAACATTTCCGCCTCTCTAGGAGGCACACTGGCTGCTGCGGCCCTCTCAGCGGCGGCGGCCAACAGTCATCAGGGAAGCCCTTCTGCCGGCAGCATGCCACCGTCATCGAACTCCAGTGCTGCTCATGCAAACTCGCCCTTTGCAAGCAACTTCTTCCAGAATGGCCCTCTGGAGCAGCTAAACAACGAGTTGAACAACTCACTCTTTCCCATGGACGGCATGAACTCGGACGCCTACCCAAACGCCCTCTTCCACCACAACATGTGCAAGTGGCCTGGCTGCGAGACGTACTGCGATGACATGCAGAACTTTCTGAAGCATCTCAATGCAGAGCACGGTCTCGACGACCGCAACACTGCCCAGACGCGCATTCAAATGCAGGTCGTACAGCAGCTGGAGCAGCAGCTGATGAAGGAAAAAGAAATTCTCACCTCGATGTTGCATCATCTGTACTCTAAGCAGCGAGCTGCTGCCGTCGCTGCGGCTGCTGCCGTCAACGGATCACAGGCCAACTCATTGCGAATGGCCGCAGCTGCAGCCGCGGCCGCAGCCGCTGCAAGTGGCCATGCAAATGGCCTGAACAGTAGCGGAAACGGTAGCAACAGCGTCAGCGCCAACGGAAGCAACCTGCAGGCGATGATCAAACTACTTCAGGAGCACGAGGAGCTGAATGCAGCCATGGGCGGCGGCGGTGTGACGCCGTTGATGGCCGCCGCGGCAGCCAACAACTTTGCCGCCGAGCAGGGCAGTGTGCAGGGCAATCGATCTGCCAGTTCGCCCAGCAACCTGCGCTCCTCACTCTTTGGCGGTTCCTCTCTGGAGGTGAACAATCACGAGCGTTCTAGTCTTCCCTCACCGACGCACGTGGCACACCACCACCAACAGCAGCACCAGCAACAACAGCAGCACCACATGCACGCCCACCACCTTCACCTGCCGGGAAAGGGTGGCGCCCCACTGGGCTCACCCACCGGTGCCGGCGCCCTTCGAGAGCATTCCAGTCAGGCAGCGGCCGCCGCTTATGACTCTCGATCTTCGCCGGTCATCTCCTCAAATGGAACCACCACCAGCGGCGGCCTCACTCGCCGTCGCCTGGAGAAGCACACCACCTCCATGTCGTCCACCCATTCCTCGCCGGTGTTGAACCTCTCAAACAACTCGGGGTCCAAGCACTCCTACACCAGCAGTCTCAGTCCTATTGGCTCGGCCAACTCGGGCTCGATCAAGTTTGGCATGGAGAATCTGTCGGTGAATCTGGAGGAGACGGGCAACGGCCTGGTCGTCCCCGGGGCGACGGCAAATGGCCATGGCGTGGGCAAGGCAGGCAAGACGCCCAAGGTGTGTGATCTCACGTCAAAGGGCGTCATTGACTTGGCCTCCATGCCCATTCAGTCAGAGTCTACGCGACGCCGAATTGCTGATCGCAACAATATCGACATTTCCGAAGGTTTGTTTTTTGCGGTAAAAACTTGTGTTTTGGTTACTAATTTCCACCCAACAGAGATCTCGCGCAATCGGGAGTTTTACCGAAACAACGAAGTCAGACCGCCGTTTACTTATGCATCGCTCATCAGACAGGTAAGTTGTCCTTCTTTTCTATCAATATTTGTTTGCAAATGTAGCTAAATACAGAGGTCGATTTTGCGGGGTTTGTTTTTCCAAGGCCAGTAGCAAACAATTTATTTGTTTTATTCAGAGTACACCTGCCGCAGTGAAATGCTTCGCAAGGCTGACAATCAATACTTTTACTATCAAAAAGTTTTACTAGTTAGGTATACTGCTGGTGGGCAATTAAGTTAATGGCAATTAATGCAAACACCAAAGCATTTTTCAATTTTCCTAGATGATATTGATTTTTACAATTTCCTACTAAAGCATCAAATTTAATTGGATGCATATGAATTATTTTTAAATTGGCAAACTTTTTAATTGATTTAGCCAGTGCTGCCGAAGTGCTTTACATTTTTCTAAAAATGTATACTTGAAGAAAATCGAGCGAAAAGAGTTAGACAAAGATAAGCAAGCTAGGGTTGGCAACTTATAGGTTTGCTTTGATTGATCTGTGTAAATAGTGAGTGGGCCACAACTGAATTGGGCAACGGGGAAAACAACTACTTCTTTCACTGGGCTTGATCAATCCTCCCTCCTCCTCCTCTTCCTTGCTGTGATTGATCGACTTTCAGTACACTAAAGTTCCACAGTTTTGCAGATGAAATCAATGGGAAAGAAATCACTGCTGCTGCTGCTGCTGCTGCGTTGTGTGTTTCTAACAACTTGGACGCAGTTTTTTTCCCGATGTGCTTGCTTAATTGAAAAGATCTATTTCCATTTATTATTTATTGTCGCTCTGTTTTTTAATTGAAAAGATGCCCCACTCTGGGGTTGTGTGTGTGTGCAGCTGAGAACAAATGCTCTCATTTGGAATGGTGGCAGTGCTTTCCCCGTCTCTACTGGTGCACAGAGGGACACACTGGTGGTGGTGGTAATGCTGTCTCTTACGACATTACTACTGCGGTGGCAGTTTTAATTTTAATTTTCTTTTCTATTCCTATTTTCTATTTTGTTTCACTCATTGGCCGCCGATTCTATTCCCCAGCACAGACGCTATTATGTGCTCTGTCTGTGCATGATTGCCTTAAAGCCCGTGTATTAAATGATTTATATTTTAATTTTATTTTGGTTGCTCGCTGTTCTTATTTGGTCTAAATTATCTTTCTCCATTTGCGTTTTGTTTTTGTCTTTTGCCTTTTTGTTTAACCCATTCTTTTCTGCAATGCAAACGACAGCCCAGCCACCGCTGGCACTCTCTTGTCTTGTCTTGTCTTGTCGTGTCTGCGTGCACACACACACAGTAAGCTCAATGATAATTTGAAATGCAGAAAAAATTAAGATATTAATTTGGTCTTGCTAGAAAAAAGAAAAAGAAGACATCATATGAATAGAGCGCACAAACAAAGAAACAGACCGTCAGACCGAGAGAAACAGGCCTCTTCTTTTGGCGGCTCTCTTCCCTGCATGGCAAAAGAAATGTTTCCCTGGTCTCTTTTCACTTTCTAGTTTTGAGAAATGCAAAGAAAATAATTAGTTTCACCCTTTCTAACGAAAAAAGTGTTTTTATTTGGCTGTTCTCAGTGCGTTTGTGTGTGAACTAGAGGGGGAGGGGGAGAGAAAGAAGAAAGAGGGGGCTGAAGAGTGAACTGAGGGAAACCAATTGGAATGGGCTTGAGCGCATCTTGGCAATTGAAATTGAAATTGACACCATTCCAATTCAAATTGAATCAAACGCTGCTGCCCTTTAATTAATGCAACTTGCACGCACTGCAAGCCACAAATGCAATCGATTGTAGTGCTACCGTTTTCACTCTTTGTTGCTGTAAAGTGCACTGACAGTGTCTGTGTTGGCTGACTAAAGGCGATAAAAGATGCCAAATGGGCGCACTGCTCTTCCTCTCGACAATCGATAGAGGAGACGATCCACTAAAACAATCGAGGCCCTGGTCTTGGCAACGGCGCCACAGTGAAGACTGTCAAATCAATAGCCCCTTTGTCGCGTAGATGTATATTTATTTAATTATTTGCCACTGTCGCCTTTCATTGCTCGTTCGTAATCAACGATGCAGCAGTGCAGTGCAAGTGTTGGGAGGCAGATCACAGAGAAAGTGCACTGAACTAGGCATTATTTTAAAGTTTTTTTAATTAAAAGTGTCACCCACAATCACTTGCAAGAATGAGTCCAGGCACAGTGTGCACAAAGTGTGCCCGGGAGAGAGAGTGGCAAAAGGAAGTGTTTCATTTGAGCGGAAATAAATTGAGATCGATACAGTGTGTGGCCTGGCCAACGGAGGCATCTTTCGGAGGCCTCTCCGTTTGCTAACGCCTACCGTCTCGGCGGTGGCTGCGGCAGTGGCCACTTTCTGCGTTTGTGTTGCGCTTATCTAAATTGCAAAACATTTTCTTATTTTAATCTAAAATTTAATTAACAAATTTAGTGTCTGCTGGCTGAGACGAGATAAGGTGCCGGCAGCCTCCTCCTAATCGCTGTTTGCCTTGCCAAAGCCTAATTAGTGCAGCTTCTAATTGTTCAGTTGCTGTGTCTTGCGTTTGTGTGTTTCCCTTGTTGCCAGTTTATCTGTAAAGTTTTTTTTATAATAATCAATGTAACAATTATAATTAATGAACTATTGAATTTGGGAAATCAGGTCGATTAATAACTTTTTTTTCTTTTTTGATAGGCCATCATTGAGTCACCTGAGAAGCAGCTCACCCTGAACGAAATTTACAACTGGTTCCAAGGGACGTTTTTCTACTTCCGTCGCAATGCTGCCACTTGGAAGGTTTGTTCTACTGTTTGGAGGGCATACAGATTGCTAACTTTCTTTTAACACTTTTCACAGAATGCTGTTCGGCACAATCTGAGCTTACACAAGTGCTTCATGCGCGTTGAAAATGTGAAAGGTGCCGTGTGGACTGTTGATGAGCTGGAGTTTTACAAGCGAAGACCACAGCGAAATGAAAAGGGGGGCTCGGGTTCGGGGTAAGTGTTGAGGCCAACAATTGAGATGGAATTTAAATCACACTGACACTGATGCTTTCTTTTTGTTGCACAGAATGGACGATGACTTTGGCGGCATGTGGCCTGATGGCAGCTCTGATCTCATTCAATCGCCAGCGACCACACCAAAGCGACACGTCGCTCGAGGACGTCCCAAGCGAAACTCTGCACCCACTAACAAGTAAGTTGCCCTGTTGACACATTCTGGTGGTGAAATTGTAAAATATTAACTTGAATTGTGAAATGAGTTAGAGTTTAAATGGCAATAAAGCCATCATTTAAAGACGCTGTTGATTTGATAGCTTTCAACAACAATAGCGCCCATCTTAATGGGCAAACGCTGCGTTGAATTAGAAGCAGTTTGCAAAAGCAAAAGAAAAGGCGCTAGGCAATTACAAACCGGTCGTAATTTATAATCTGTAATTGATTTTTGACTGTAAAAGCTAACAATAGATGCTGAAAATTGTTTCAATTTGATAATTGCAGCTGTAGCTGAAATGTTATTGCCAAATTATGGCTCGTTTGTTCGGCTATAATGGCCATCACTGTAATAAACAGATGATGATGGCCGATTATACAGTGCTGCGGACATTCTTTCAATTGCCCCGAACATTTGCGCTCGTCAGCAGTTTTGGATTTTGAAAATGGCCCTTTCTTTCCAACTTTTAGTTGTAGGGTTGTGGGTGTTGTCAGATTATGCACTGCAGT